GAAGGAAGGGAGGGAGGGAGGAAGGACATAGGTAAGGATTGATGGGAAGGAAGGAGGGGCGAGGGAAGTAGGAAAGAACCATAGATAGAAGGAAGAAAGGAAAAGTGGGAGGAAGGGTGAGAGAAATTAATGAAGGAATAGCAAAGAGGCAGAGAGAGTATTAATGGACAGTCAGGAAAAGAGGGAGAAAAAGAGAGGACAAGGGGAGGGAGGGAGGGAGGGAAGGAAATTGTGCAGTTTAAAGATAACAGACTGCAATACATCATGAAAGAATTGTTTATTATTGTGAATATTATTAGTAATAAATTAAAGTATTTATTGAGCACTAGATTTTACTGTGATGGTTTTGTTGCCTTTTTTTAAAAAAAAAAAAAAGCAATAGGCCACTCGAGGACGTGTGTTAGAGGAATTTTATCATGCGTAAGGGGGTTTTATACTCCGCCTCACGTCATGCCTAACAACACGCTTAACCATGATGAAATCCCTGTAACACACGAGCTCTAGTGGATTATTGCTTTGTGATAGCCCACTTATCAGGTACAAAAGTATGTACACCCTTGACATCACACTCATGTGTGCTTATTGATGAAATTGTAATGCTACAGAATACAACGCCATTCTATACTTCCATGCTTCCAGCTTTGTGGAACTGTTTGGAGAAGAACCACATATGGGCGTGATGGTCAGGTGTCCACAGACTTTTGGCCATGTAGTGTAGAGCTGCAGTTGTATTTTTCCATCCCTGTGCTAGAATGTGTGTTTACAGCGCCACAGAAAAAGTAATTTAATGCAACATGTTCAAGCTTGTGCAACAGCCACAGTGGTCACTGATGGTACCATCTGTCTTCTGATTAGTGATAGACAGCACGGCACTGAGAGCTCAACAGCATCCCCGTTTACTTCCAGGTTCTCAGCAGACGATAAAATGCCTGCTAGGACATTATCATTTCAGTTAAACCTTTATGTAAACATAGCGGACACTAGGATAAAGATATTTGCAGTGCTGCTGTGTATGAAGAAGAATCTGTGAAGACCAGTGACATGAGTCTTGCTAATGTAACGAAACAGTGGTGGCTCAGTGGTTAGGGTTTTGGGCTGCTGTTCAGAAGGTTGTGAGATCAAATCCCAGCTCCACCAAGGAGCTGCTGTTGGGTTCCTCACCTTCAACTGCTCACTGTATACAATCCAATTTGAGCAGAACAGCAGTGAAAGAGCTTATAAACAAGGGACATGCAGAAAGAAGCTCGACCGGGAACGGTGTAGTTATTGTTCAGGAAAACCAGAGTTCTTTATCGCCTTAGAAGTTTCCAGAAGCTCAGTGGAAGTGCATTAGGAACAATGAGAAGGAAGGAAGGAAGGGAGAAAGAAAGTATAGGAATGGAGGAAGGAAGGAAGGAAAGAAGGCATGATTGTAAGAAAGAATGAAGGAAGGAAGGGTGAAAAGAAGGGAGGGAGAAAGGATGGAAAGAAAGAAAGAAAGAACACAGGAAGAATGGGAGGGAGGATGGAAAGAAAGAACAAAAGAGAGAAGGAAGGTAGGAAAAGTGGAAGGAAGGAAAGAAAGAATGAATGAATGAAGGATGAAAGGGATTATGTCAGAACCCAACAAAGAATGAGACTGAAAAAGTCAAAATAAAGAGCAAGAGAGCAAGTCTCATTTAGCTGTGTATTGTCGAAAGGAAGGAAGGAAGGAAGGAAGGAAGCAAGCAAAGAAATGAAAGGAAGGAAGGAAGGCAAGAAGGAAGGAAAGAAGAACTCAGTAGCGAATGAGAGAGACAAGATAAAGAGCAAGAGAGAGGAGCATGCTCCGTTAGCTGTGTATTTTCAGAAAGATGGAAAGACAGCCAGACAGGGCAGTGCTGTGACACACTTCATCTCTGCTGAAGAACACACACACACACACAGGGAGGGAGGGAGAGAGAGAGAGAGAGAGAGAGATCCAGTGTGTGGAAGACGTTAATGCAGTGGTGTGGTAAAATGACCTATACTGCCCAGCTGCTGCTTTTGGCCTCATATCCTTCTTGACTACACGATCTCTACTCACTATTCTCCACTAACACAAAAACATCACAGTGTTTGATCTATACTGGTGTGTGTGTGTGTGTGTGTGTGTGCGCACGCACGCACGCGTGCACTTGTTTACACTTCTTTTCCATATCTCTTTAATTCCAGTCTAATAGCATGCACTTGGAGAAGTGTGTGTACGTAGGAGGATGGGTCATGAGTCAGTTTTGTTTGTGTGTGTGTGTGTGTGTGTGTGTGTGTGTGTGTGTGGCACCTGTGGGTTTTGACCCCACATTGCTCCAGCAGTTGTGCTGCCTCGAGCTGGGTGAATCCGTTCCCTGCTCTTTATGCGAAAAATAAAACCAAATAAAATCAGAAATGAGCGCAAGCTGCAGCATGCCATCGACACGTACACCATAAATCCAATCATATGCTGATGATCGGAATTTACTGAGGATCTAGAAAGATTACTGCAATACTGAGTGTTAAGAGGAGCTGTTTTTTTGTTTTTTAAAGCTTGGCTACGCTTCAGGATTTCTAGAATTGGGATAAGTTTAGAAAATGGAGAGCGCTTCAGATTTTAAAGCTGTTTTTGCATCGCCAGTACAATAAAATCCAAACAAAATGAAAGCAGTAAAATACTGAGACAATTAACTACAACATTTAAAACTAAAGACAATTATTTAAATGAATCACTTTCAATATTATCACCTACTACATTGTTTTCTTCTTCTTCTTCTTCTATTAAAGAACGTGTACATGTACACTTCCTGGGCTGGGCCGAACACTGAGCAAGGCACGATAAATAAAAATGGTCTGAATCGGCGTAATGGAGTTATCGGATTACTGGGTGTAATGGTGATTTAAGCATTTAAACTGGGCAACGAATACAGGATTTATAAGATGGTCACAGATTTTGAAAACTAAGAGAATTTCAGAGTTTACAACCACTTTCACATACACTACATAGCAAAAGACGTCTGACCGCCATACCCATATGTGCTTGGTGAACATCCCAGTCCAGATGTAACAGCCCCCACTCTTCTGGGAAGGCTTTCCACTAGATGTTGGAGCGTGGCTGTGGGGATTTGTGTTCATTCAGCTACAAGAGCATTAGTGAGATCAGGCACTGATGTTAGTGAGGAGGTCTGGGGTGCAGTCGGTGTTCCTGTTCATCCCAAAGGTGTTCAGTGGGGTTGAGGTCAGGGCTCTGTGCAGGACACTCGAGTTCTTCTACTCCGACCTTCACACGCCATGTCTTCATGGAGCTCGCTTTGTGCACAGGAGCATCGTCATGCTGGAACAGGGTTGGGCCTTTTAATTCCAGTGAAGGCAAATGATAACAGTACAGCATACAAAGCCATTCTGGACAATTGTGTGTGCATATGATTGACAAATTGATTGTTAAATGCCACAAACAGAGGATCAGAGCTCGAATGCTGATGATGCCATGAGCAGCGTTTCAAAAAAGATGCGGTTGGTTGGCTTCATGCGTTTCATCTTATTACCGCGCTGTATCTGGTTACTGACTATGATTGTCACAAAGCTGTTAATAAACGCATCAAGTGTCTCTCATGTTCGACTATTTCAGCACCAGCTTCACTGGACAGCTCCCTGTAGGCGTATGCTTACGTGCGCCTCCTTTATTTTTCCTCTTCTCCTTCTTCACCTTTTTTCCATTAAGACTCTTGGTTCTGAACTTTATTTAATTGAAGAACTGCTATTATGCTTTAATCAGATGTCCGTGATGAGTCCGGGGATGTGGTGCGGGCTGAGAAACATATTATCGCTGTCATTTTCTTTTCTTCTCTGTCCTTTTTAACTCTCTTGACTCCTCTTAATCTTTCTCATCCTCTCTGATTTTCTTGCGAACAATAAATTCCATGGCTATTTCCGTTCCCATCTCTTCTCTCTTCTTTTCTCTCTCTCTCTCTCTCTGCCACTTGCTGCAATATTATCAGGTTTATCTTTATCTCCTTTTTTCCCCCCCACTCTGTCTTTGACGCTGTTCCTGAAACTTCTCATTCTGCTCCACCCTTATCTCTGCCTCATTCTCATATTTCAGCTCCTCTTTGATCCCCTCAGGCTTTTGTCATTCTTCCCATTTTAATTCTCATCGCACCATGGTGAAGAAAGACCTAATTAATTACTTGAATGTGTAATCTCTGCACCCCATGGTTAATTTGACTTTTTTTTTCTTTCTTTCTAGATAGTGCTTCGTCTTCTGATTCACAATGTCACTGACTGTCGTCTGGTTTCACAGAAGCATTACTGCAGTGATACAGTTTTCAGGAATAAGCTACATCCAGATAGCGGGTGTGGGTTTTGGTAACGGAGATGAGAACGTGTTAAACCCACATTTGATTTTCTCTGGTGGTTGTGTTGCAGCTGGTGGAGCCTCTGACCCCGAGTGGCGCAGCACCCAATCAGGCCCAGCTCAGGATTCTGAAGGAGACAGAGCTGAAGAGGGTGAAGATCCTTGGTGCAGGAGCCTTTGGCACCGTCTACAAGGTAATTATTATTGACTCATATGATAGATTAATATTCTCACATGCTATTTACCTAACAGGCAATCTGAGAGAACATCAACCAGAATATTTTACATATAATATAATACAGCTTTGAAAAGTAATTGAGAGCCTTTGGTAAAATATGTGACTTGAACCCATGGTTGAAAACGGTTAGCTACAGTTAGTGCCAGTACTATACACCTCTCGTTTTTAACACTCCTGTACTCTTAAAATGTTTGTAATTAAATTTTATTATAACAGAAAAAAAAACCCACTAGCATTTATTTTTCTAAGGCCATCACCATTTTTGAACTTTGGACAGATAATATCTAATAATCAGCAAATAATATTGTTGATATACACTAAACATCCACCTTATTAAGAACACCTTTACACATGCACATTCATGCAGTTATCTAATCAGCCAATCACGTGGCAGCAGCACAATACATAAAGTCATGCAGATACAGGTCAACAGCCTCAGCTAACATTCACATCAAACATCACGATGGGGAAAAAAGTGTGATCTTTGTGACTTTATTGGTGGCATAGGTGTTGGTACCAGATGGGCTGGTTTGAGTATTTCAGAAACTGATAAACTCCTGGGAATTTCACAGACAACAGTCTGTAGTTTACACAGAATGGTGTAAAAAAAAAAAGAAAAAAAAAAAAAACATCCTGTGAGCGATGGTTCTGTGGATGGAAATGCCTTGTTGATAAGAGAGGGCATAGGAAAATGGATAGATTGGTTCAAGCTGCTGATAAGATATAGTAACTCAAATAATCACTCTTTACAACCGTGGTGAGCAGAAAAGCATCTCGGCGTGCACGAAACATTGAACGTTGAGGTGGATGGTCTACAATGGCAGAAGATAACATTGGGTTCCAGTCCTGTCAATCAAGAACAGGAATCTGAGGCTAGCATGGGCACAGAGTCTTCGAAACTGGACAGTTGAAGATTAGGGGAAAAAAAATCATCTGGTCTTTTTTCCAGTTTTCAGCTGTCCAGTTTGCCAAGTTCGTCTTTGTTCTGGATACAAGCTAGCCAGCGAACTGTGATGAGTGATGTGTATTTTCCTCCTCAAAACAGTGAACTGTAGATTTAACAAGCAAATATGTCTGCGTGTTGATTGATCTGAAGCTAGTACTTGTGTATACAGTACAACTCGTATAACTTAAGAAGTGCTCCTATGTTTCCTGCTGATACTGTGAGCAGCCATGTTGATTTGACATCACTTGAAGAACTTGGAGGAACTCAGTGTTCAGAAGACCATCCCGAGTTCCTGAGTAGGAATTCCGGATGAGTCGGAAGATTGGAATTATGAGTTACAACACGAACGCAGCATAAATAGAGCCTTGACACACTAATTAACCTGTCCAAACAAAACTTCTTTACAGCACCTTCTATAGGTTTAATATCAACGTTCTCTACAAGCATACGTCGCATGTCAGTGTATCAAACTTTCAATCAAATGCTGTTTGCATCAATGTCTGCCTCAATGTATTTTAACCAAGCTCACCTCTACTACTTTGCGTTTTTGAGATGCCTTTAAAAATAATGAAATTAAATGTTTCTACATTAAAAAAAATACTATAAAGAGCAGTAAACAGTAATAAATGAAACA